AAAAAACCCTCTGGGGGGGCGGTCCACCAAATTACCCCTGCCACAACCTGAAACAAGCTGCAAATACCAGCAGACTTCCAGACTCGGAAAGATCCAGAAGTCCCCTATTGTAGGCACTCTGTGCAGGGACACCAGACCTCATCTTTTTCGTAAACTATACAGGTCAGATGTTAAGGCTTTGATCTAAACAGCACTCTTCCCTGATGCTTTAAATACGCAGTCCTGTGACAGGTGGACCAAAGTATTCTCCTTCACCACTAACATGTTCCCCTAGGAGGATCCAGGCACATCTCCACAATACCCCTAATCTGCGCTGAAAGCACCCACTAGTTCTTCCTTTGCTCCCTTAAGGGATGTCAGAAGATGAGCCAGGGGAGCACCTTAAAGAACGAGTGAGTTAATTTTTAAGGTGCCACTCTGCCCCCTGCCGTCTACCTAACTTCAGATTAGCAGGCCTTACCATCTGTCTAAGGGAACACAAGTTGTCCCTTCTTCAGACATTCTCTAGTACCGCCGGCCACATAAAAGTCAGAGTTACTGAAATCACTAATACAAGTTGGCCGATGATCAAAAAATCCTCTCAAACCTCTCCCTTCCACCAGATCTCAGTTAAGATGTCCCATGTACAGAGAGCCTGAGACACAGAAGTCTTCACAAGAACTTCATAAGAGCAACGTAAAACCTTGCCGCAGGTCTGCTCTTTAAATGCAGACATCTATTCCTTGGCACGTACGCTAATCAAGACAGCATTCAGAACAGCTCCTATAAACCCCAGTCTGAACTTGCCTAACTTGGAGCTTGTTTGATTCTCTAAAAAAAGGACAAGTACTGTTTAGTCTGAAGTCCAAAGAGCCAATCAGTTCTTGAAGAGGTGTACTCCCAGTTACTCAGCATTGAAACTGTTGCCATTAGTTTTATTGATAATCAGGATGCTATTTTAAATAGGCACCCTGAAGATAAAGGCACAAACTCATGTTCTGGTTTGAGAAAGAGCCAACTGAGGTCACTATGCATGTACACATATGCTCATATTTAGAGCAAGCAATTAAAAACAACAGTAGTCACACATGAGAACACAAATGAACATCCACTTTGGAAGCTCCACGTTCCTTTTTTAAGAATCACCCTTCAGTGAAGATGCGGCGAGATTCCCTAGGACCCATCACCCTCGTTAAGTGTTTAAATAAAACCTTCTCAGACTATACTGATAAAGCCATCATACATTCCACCTCCTTTTTGCCCAGCCTATGCTCAAGTATTCAAAAATCTATAGCTTAAATCAAATACTTGCCATTTCTCTAGTTTCAGTAGTAAACTGGAAAGTATTAGGAAGAACTTCAATATTGGTGGCTCGTTCCAGTTTGTCACGTCGATCCGTTGAAATGTTGAATCTAACATGGTCAGCTTCCAAAAGCGTGACCTTGGATTTTGTATCTTTATCTCCAAACGGAAGTTCTTTAGGAATCACAAAGTCAACTTTGATGCGTCCAGGCAACGGGTCGTTCTGGCGATTGCATGGAAAGGGCAAGTTGTAAATTAACTAATCATTCTTCCCAAACTCTAGACTTAACTGTGAAGTAAAATTAAGGCACTAGTTTCCTTTGTAAGAGCACGGTAAAATCTTAAAGCAGGTCTAGGCTGCAAAATGTTTGCCACTTTTGCATTTTCATTCAGAGATCCAAGTACTTTATGAAAAGTACTTCCTTAGTGTAGAAAAAGACATCATATCCACCCCCTCCCCCTCAACAACCATGAGGCCTGGGATGCTGCAGACATACCTTTTTAAGTATCAGTTACTTGAGGAGAGAGAGAGAGAGAGAGAGAGAGAGAGAGAGAGAAAGCATATGCAACACCCCTCGCCTCCTGCAAGTGTTGTGCAAGTTACTCATGGCTCATTTAAGATCATTGCCAGTCATTCCAGAGTAAGCCTGTCAGGCTACGTGCCCTCGCTGGGCACTTACTGGTAAAGGGGCAGCAACACGGCTTGGAGGGGCTGTGTGTGTGTGTGTGTGTGTGTGTGTGTGTGTACGCAGCTACGTGCATCTTGATCTGGCTTAACACACAGCACAGTAAGGAATGCCTCAAAATGGGCTGGCTGTTTATAGCCATGGTCTTGCACATGGGGAAGTCTGGCACAGAGCTGACACGACTGGTCTGCGATTACAACAAGACCCCCCCCAGTTCAATTCCCACATTGCTATTTGCTAAATGGAGAAGTTTTGCAGCTGGGGACAGTCATCAATGCATTAGAAATCTTTTGAGTCTCAGTGTCAAACAAAGTATCCCAGTTACCCACAAGTTCTAAGACAAACAAGAAGGCAGCAAACATAAGCTGTGCTGGAAGGTGGCACGCAACCTGCCTCTGCTAAGTTTTACTCCATCAAGTTGAGCAAGGTGTGCATTTACGACCTTAAACGATGCCCAGCTAGCTTCATTTACCAAGCACACATTCCCCTTCTCTACTTCAGGTCTAAGAGATGAAGAAAGGATCTTCCCTTTTCATTTTTCGTCACCCCTTGGGGGTCGGGAGGGGAAATCTACTGCCTTGAACTTCCCGAGTTTGTTTCCATGATGCCAACTCATAACTTGACAAGCAACAACTGCCTTCTAACTGTAAAACACAGTCACCTTAATTCTCTCTTCAACCTTCCCTTCTAGTAACTATACATAATTAGTGTATCGCAAGTGTAAATTTAGTTTTAAAAATTATTATTACAGGGCTAAGATGCTAGAGTTTTTAGTTAAGCTGTTGGAGATAAGGACTCAGCTGCGCTCAACATCAGTTTCTTACACATCAGAACAGAACCTAGAAGCAGCAGAGAGCAGCTGCTTACAATCTTTAACACAGGAAAGCTGTTCTGCTATTTTGACCAGTGTTGAAAGGTTAATTATTGCACATGAGAATTTCAAGGAAATACTGATTTTTACCTGATTTTTGTTGGGTACTTTTGGGATTACTTTGGTTACAGTTCCTTCAAAGTGTTCAATGCTGATATCTTCAAAAATAACAGTCCCTTGTGGCAACAGTTTTACATCCGTTGCAACTTCTTTACCCTACAGACAGAAAATGAGTGGCACTCGTATGGAAAACAGATATAAATAACCAGAAACTTGTATGTATATGTTACTACCCTTTTTTTTTTTTTTTTTTTTTAAAAGACATTTGAGAATAAACACAGTTTTACAGTTATGTCCTAGAATCTTGTCTTCAGTTTTACTGGATTTGGTCTTACATTTCTGTCTTTGATTGTAAACTCCACATCATCGCCAGGCTGTAAGGCTTCTAGATCACCTTTAAATTCACTATAGTGAAAGAATATCTCCTTTACGACATCACCTCTTTCAATAAATCCAAAGGCTTCCTAAGAGAAGAACACAAAATATTTAGCAAGCAGTCAAACTACTTAATTACCAAGACAACAGTTCCTACTCTGGACTGATACAAAACAAACTTTAAAAAAAAAAAAAAAAAAACCAACGAAGAAAGAAAAAGGTCAAATAAAAAGCTATCATGCTTTAAGTATTCACAGATAATTTGCCATGATTAGATCATAGGTATAAATTGTATTTTTCAAATTAAGAGACAACGAGAGAATAAAAAGAAAACATTCAACATAACCACCTCGGGTAACTTAATTCTTGTACGAAAAACTGTTTGTAGCCCTAGTCCTGTACTGTTCCAGGGGCCCAGCTTACTATATAAACACCACATACTCAAACTAGTTTTTAAAATTAAGAATTAAGTGCCACTTACCTTCATGGCACAAACTACTCCTTGACAACGGGCTTGTTTCTTTTTCAAAAGCATGATGTTACGAGCACTTACAGCACCAGTACTAGCAAAGGTGGAGGGGGGAAAAGAGAGGTACAATCAGAATTTCAAATTTTAGCCAACTTTTTGCCACATGTCCATTGAGGTTGAGGGACCCCAGTAGCTCCGCTGCTTGCCCTTGATCAGCTGGGAGGCAGAAACCACAGTTTTAAGTATGCCATGCTTTTTGCCTGCTGGCTGATCAGAAGCAAGTGGTGGGGCCCCTTTGCCAATCAGGGGCAGCAGGAGGGGAGGGGAGGGAGCATGTGGCCAAAAGAACAAAAATAAAGGAGCCACCGCATAGTGCACTTCTGGTGCAATTTAGGTAAATCCCTGACTATTAGCATATAGAGTATACTCAAGAAATGAAAGCATCACTTACTGCTTATTTGTGTCAATTACGAAGTTTATTTTATCTCCAGTTTCTAGCTGTACGTTCCCTTCAACGTCTTCAGGTGTGTAAGTCAGGTAAAACACTTCCTGTGAATTAGCATTCACCATCATTAATCTAGTTGCAAATTGCAGCCTTTTTTTAAAACAATTCATTATTTAAATTGAACTTTAAACATTTGTTGTGAAAAGCTGCGAAGAGTTAAAGTGTTGCATGCAAAAATGTTTTGCTTTCTCCGTGCTGCTGGTTCTGGCAAATGCATACCCAGCTACTTGAGAAGCCGAAAGATTTGTACAGTGCTACCATCACATTTAAGTCAGGTTCCAAAAAGGTAAAAAAAAAAAAAAAAAAAAAAATTAAATCCAAAAAATAAAAATGCTAATAGTTAACATTAATTGACATTAAGTCAGCTGATGATTTTAAGAGAGAATCTGTATCTACATATCTTAATTGTTCAAAGATATTACAGCCAAATACATTGACAAAGATACAGGCATGCTGTTTCCATATCTCTAATAAAATTGCACTTTTAGAGAAAAGTTTTAGATTTGATTAAGCTATCTACTTTACACCGTGCCAAGTATTTGTTTTTAGACCACACTGGTGGATCAGTCAAGAGTTTAAATAAAATACGTGAGTTTTACCCCATTACGTTCGTAGCATACACTCCCTGTAGGACTCTGACCCGGGGCAGCTGGAGATTTACTCTCTAAATTGTGAGGAACAGCACACACAACCTACCAGTACAAAAAAACATTGCTAGTCATTCCAGAAGCACCACTGTGCAATACAAACTGAATTTTAAATATCCTCTACTCTGCACTCAGGGATGCACTTTAAATATAATCCGAAAGAGGAGGCCATGCTGCAGAATTTCAAACTTACAGAATTTCTGTAGACTAAGAAGTGGCTAGGATTAGATAAAAACCCCAAATTGAATTTCTGTTTTTCACCCATTTGGCAAAACCCAAGATTTTTTTTTTTCCAGTTTAACTGAAAAATGTAACCACATTTAGCATGCATATGTCCTTTTGAATTGGAATAAAGTGGGTGCAAATGATGTGCATATAGATGAAACAACATAGCCACTAACTTGTCCATTTATTCGCTCTTCGGGTAAGATTTCTGGCTTTATCTTCACCAATTTAACAGCAATGGGTTTTCCAGTTCGGCGGTCAGAAGAGACTTCAAATTCAACATCATCTACAAGAGAATCGGACTCTCAAGTTCCACATAATTACGCGAAGCAACAACATTTATTAGTTCACATTTGTCTGACCACCAGAAATTAAATTCTTTGCCACCACAAATTAACTGGTCTCTTAAAGACTGGTTTGTTTTAAAGATCTGCCCCTGGCTCCTCTGCTTGATCCTCCACTGGCCTCATAACCCTGAACTATGCCAGGTTTCGTGACCGATGTGTCATGACATCCTGTTTTATACATTTAATCCCATATCCAGCAGGAGCAGAAAAATTAGCATGCCTCCTGTACCAAAACATGATCAGTAATGCTCGAGGAAGTTGTTGAATTGTACCAGGGAAATCTACAGCTCCTGAATCAGAGACACTGCTTATCTTATTTCTTCACCCTGACCACATAAATTTGTCCCACCTAATAGCTTTTGAGGGTAGCCACAACAGCACTGCTAGCAAAAAAGGCATAAGCCTTAGTTATTACAGCAGGATTCTCTCAGTTGGAGACTTCAGATTCAACTGTAACCAACTATATGGTCCTGTAAGGGTGGCAGATTGCATGGAGTTGCAAATTAGAAGATTATGCTCTGAACACAAAATTAAGGGAGAGGCAGGGGGAGGAGCACTTATCAGTTGACAGATTACCTCCTACTTTAAGCTCCTGTAAGTTGCCATTGTACTGCGAACAGTGGAAGAACAGTCTAGCTTGCCGTTCTGAGCACTGAATGAAGCCGTATGAGGTCAGCAGTTTTTCAATAACCCCCGTTTCACGCAGTGCTGCCGAAGTACCATTGGGGTAGCCGTTGTGTCCATTGTTGTGGAGAAGGTTTGGATCAAAGCTCATCTAGCATTAGAATAAAGACAGAAGAGACCTTCACTATCCCAAGAGGGGGGAAAAAAGCAGCTTACCTTTCCCACCTGCCAAAGGACCTTACAGAATTAGCACCACCACGTTCTCAGAGACCAACAAACCTTGTTTTGGAAAGGCAGAATGAAAGGAATACAATATTTTTCCAGTCACGGCTGAATCCTGTTTATAGCAACTCGGGCAAAAGCTACAGTTTTAGCCCAGTCGTAGCCAGGCACGTTAGCAGCAGCCATTTTTGGCTGCTTGGGCAAAAGCTACTGCTAATTAAGCAGAAGCCATGAAAAGGTTAAAACTACGATGCTGCAGAGTGCGCTCTTTTACCTCCTCCCTCTCTTCAGCCATAGAAAATAGCAGAGCTCTAGCAGCAGTTACAGCATCCCTGTGCTTTTTATTCCAGCACAGACATCAGCCTCCCAGTTAAAAATGTACACCCAATTGGGAGGGCTGATTTGGGGGGTGGGGAAAATATGTGGTGTACAAGTAAATATGGTAAATCTGACACAAACAGCATGTATGTTAGACATGGGCAACAAGTATATAGGATTTTCTGCCAGTTTTTCAGAACAGGGGGACCCCCCCCCCCCTCTAAAATAGTTTAGCTTTGAGACAATAACTTCAGATTTGGAAAACCAATAGATTTAACAGATAAAAATAGGCTGTATTGATGACATAAAACTAAATCTTTGACTTAACACAAACAAGTTTTATTTTAAAGATACCCCAAAACATCAGGTTGCTTGATAAATGCTCTATGCAGTGCCCTCCATGAAAATATTCCCCACTTACTCTTTTACATTTGTCAGCTTTAACACAGAATTACCATCCTTCTTAAATTTAATCTGCTTTCACCAGTTAAGGTAATACAACTGTTAAAAAAAATTAAGCCTTCACAGTATTAAAATTATTCCCATGCTGAACTACTTCTCCAGGCTTATGTTTTAAGAGGACATAAAGCGGCCTTCTAAGAATCCAGGTGTAGCTAAAATTTTGTGGTATAAATAACACACACATTAAAACATCTAGATATCCTGTGACATGCAGGAGCCAGCAACTCTATAAAAGAGCTTGATTTAAGTTAGTAAAAATGAATCCAACCACTCTTCAACATTTCATCCCCAAGACATCTTACATGCACTTCCTTCTAAAATGTATTAATAAAGGGTTAACCAGCACTCTTCAAACACTGCTTGCTTAGGTTTATAAAATGTTAGCACAAAATGTATTGCAAAGGTTCCAACATCCAGGTTTTGCTACTTTAAAATGGAAATTCGTTATATATTTTTTAAAACTAACACTAGTTACAAGTTAGTACTTACAAACAGCCTGAACATGTGCTACAAGAACTGTAATACTGATTTCTCCAGATAGCACAATCAAGACAAGTTGCGCTCAACATGCATTTTGAACACTACAATGAACGTTTTCAGGCACTGCAGTTCCCAACGTATCTATTTAGGACACGGACCAAGGCTTCCCTTTGTGTTATCAGGTATCTATATTCTAGGTTTGTTATAACTTCAAGCAGAAGAATTCACAATTAGTTAACTCCACACATTTACTAGAGTTGGAAGGTTTTGGAACAGCTTAAAAGTAGCAAGCTTGGATACTGCAAAACAAAAAAGTCATTTTAATTCACTAAAGTACCCTGTTAGAAACCATTCATATTACACTGCATACCAACAAGAGTGATGTTACTGAACTTGAGGGGCACAACACAACTGGCTGTGAATGCTCAAACAAGTATATACACTGTTAAGCAGAATTAACATTAAATCCAGGGCAACAGCCACACACTTGGAATGGCCGAGCACTGCTCTCTGAGAAATCACAATAGTGCTCTGCATGGTGCCACAAGAGAAGGGACAATTCACAGCCCCAAAAGGTCCACATCTGCAGCTTCCCTAGAGGATGTCACCTGGAAGCATGTTACAGATCTGTTGTTTTCTTTTGGAAGAAACTTGTAGTGGGTGACAACGGGAACCACAGGGTGCTGTTTTCCTACCCTGCTTTAGGTTACACTTGCTTGGCCTATAAGTCAATAACACACTGCCCTGAGAGTGCATAGGGCATAAAAGAGGCAGTTGCACACATGGCAGTTGAGAAGAGTGGGGAATACTAATGTTTGAGTGATAACATCTCTGAAATAAATACCCCTAAGCTTTCCAATTGGCTTAGAAGGAACTGGATTCTTTTACTTGTTGAAAGCATTTGGTATTAGAAGAGTTAGAAAGTGAGAACATTGGTTCAAGACAGACAGTTCCCAAGATCCCCCATGCTTCTGAAACACACAGGTGCATAGACTGCTACCCTGACTTACAGATCTCTGATACAGGGGGGTCCTCTTCTGTTTTTTAGACCCAGATGAGGTAGAAGATGAGGAGAAAGATAAAGGAAGAGAAGGTGGGGGAGCTGCAGGAGGGGGGAGAGGATCTGATGACACAGTATAATGGTTCTCCATCTCACACAGCTGTGATAACATAGTATAATGTTATAACTAGTCAATATTTGGCACAACTTTAAAAATACATCCAAGTCACTGCTAATCAAGTCCAGGTCCTTTAAGAGGTTACAGTAATTAGAACTTTACATTGGACTACTAGATCAACATGCCACTGGTCTTCACAGATTTCTGCAAAGTTGTCAAGGACAAGAGTGTGGAGGCCATTTCTAGTTCTCTTCTTCCTCACTTCCCACTTGCAGTGTGGCTCAAAGTAGTAAAGGTATGGCCAGGCCATGCAGAAAGCCATGAGTCACAAAGACAAGACACCCATTGGAGGTATTATGCATGAAACAAAACACAGTTGCTACAACATTACACACGTGCTATTCAGTTCAGCTGCAATTGTAACAGCACTGCTAAAAACCTGCTAAGCCATGCAGAGTCCTTTCCATCACAGTCCATTTTCCAGCAAGAGTACAACTGGTGATATTCTACTATCTTCCTTTCCCTTGCATGATATGAAACCGTGAACAAAACAGGGTTATTTCAAAGGAAGCAGTGGTACATCCCTCAAATTGAACCAACAGCTCAAACAGGCCCTGGTAAGGCTGTGGGAGCCATAAATCCAAAAAGAAAAAGAAAAAAGAAGCTAATCCTGCATTTGGAGGGGGGGGGAAGAAACACATGACACTCAACAACTAACTTCCCCATCACCAGAGTTTTTCTTCAGAGTCCAGATACTTAGCAGTATACTAGCATGCCTGCTAACGAGCAGTCATACTTAAGAATCAGAAGACCAGGCACAACTGAGATAACCCATGTCTTGAGGAAAGTTTTGCTTTTATCTCTATTCATCTTCCTACTTGTTACAGAAAATTCCCTTAGACAGGAACAGCAGAACAGATAAGGTCAAATCCTGAGGGCTACTACATGCCCGCAATTCCCAACAACATTAAATAAAGAAGTTGCAGGTACTCAACAGCTCACCCAATTTGATCCTCTGTGCAATTCCTAGAGCTAACTGCACCCTGCTGTTAACTGGTGTGACAACTATTCTCCACTTGGTATACTGTACTCAGCAACTTCGCTAACAGCCCTAGTTTAGGAACTTAATCTTGCTGCCAACACATTCACCACATTGTTAGAAAGCCAGGAAGCATGCTATAGAATGATGTCCTCTTGCACAAAGCTAGAGTACAAGTTAGAATACCACATGGTTCTGATTATATTATAAGCCATAATGTACAGGTATAATTAACTGCCTAACCTCTTAATCTCTCCTCTATATACGCTGTTCCTATTTCATCACTATTAAGACTACCTTTTATCAAATGATGCCCCGAACAAATCATATCGTGTTTAAATTTATCTAAGCGCTTGATGCGTTCCCACAGCATTTGGGAAAAAGTATCAGGTACTAAGAATAAATTATAAATCTTTAGAGAATACCCAAACAATTTCTAGCAAAAATGCCAGTATAAGCTATGAATTTGGAAGTCTAGTCAAAAGCAAAATTCATAATGCCAGCATCTATCTGGACTAGAAGTGCTCAAACACCTTTGTGTTCTCCTCACAGGTTCAGCTTAGGGTGATGTGGCATGTTCTCTGCAACAGCTGCAAATCACAGGAATGTAGTAAGCCTAAAAAGAAACAAATCTACAGCTTCATGAGGGTATTTAACACACCAACCTGCTTGAATTGCCTCTTGTTGTTTTAACAGCACTTACTCAGTGTTACACTGAACATGTGGCACCACCCTGAAATGATGCACTACCAGCATAAACCAACCCAGAACTTAGGTCCCTGCTCTCTGTGCCCTTCAAAAGGAGCATCAACACTTGTACGCACCCTCCCACTGGCTGTCTTTAACATCTGCAGAGGCCAAAAAAGAAACCTGTATCCTGCAAACAGCCATCTCATCCCCTCGCTGGCTAAGGGAGGGAAACAAAATGGATTTCAAAGTGAAACTCACCCAGTGACAGCAGAGGTCAAGCCACTAACTCATTCTGAAAGAGGTCCTGAGAGGACAGTCACCTTCACTGCTAAGAGCACTCTGTCCCCCCACAGTCCTCACATTGTGTCAACAAAATTAACCCTTCCCACTTCATAAATTTACCTGTCAGAGAGATTTCTGTACCAGAGATAGCCATCACTAATGAAACTACTGAAATTGTATTGACAGGTGTTATGTAGTTCAGAATAACCAAAGCCAATCAGGTAAACATCTTGCTGTCATTTTTCTAGCTCAGAAGAGGTTGCTGCATTAGGTCAATTGAGTTAATCGGGGTTTGATTTTAAAAGGAGTGCTACAAGAGTACAAAATAATTTAATGACTAGCCAAAAGATGATCAATTCGTTCAGACTGGAGATGCACTGCCTAAGTTGATACTAACATAGGAAATGGGGTAGAATATGGTATAGAAAACTCCATCTTCTTTCCTGTTTGCCGTATCTGTTCAGCAATCCCAACTTCATTTTATAATACTGCACGAATAAACTCAACTGAACTAAACAAAGACAACCTATCACTTCACATGTGTTACTTGTACAGTCTCAGCACAAAAGCTACCCTTTAGACAGATTCCATTAGAGGCCAGATCAAAGACCCCGGAACAGTTGCACTAGTCCATAACAGTTACATTTGGGTTGATTTGTGCAACACAAGCCAGATGCTTTTGGCTGGACTGGACTCATGGTTGCTATTTATCTTAATATGTTCACTACCAGTGGAAGACCTCTCTCAAATCTAACCTGTCACCTTACTGAACAGAATTCCAAAATCCTGCACTATCACCATTTAAAAAAAAAAAAAAAAAAAGATTCCTCCCTCACCTGCCCCGTGTGATCCAGATATATCAGTTCATTCTGCTTTATATCAAAGACAGCTGAAGGAAACAGACACTTTGGGAAATGTCTGTATTCACAAGATTGCTTTTCATTATTAGCCAAATATCAGCAGTCACATGTGACAATCTACACAGATCCCACAAGTATTTTAAAAAAATGCAAGTATAATGGAATTTGGAGCCATACATTCTACCTTCATACATCTGAAACCAGGACTAACCTATGCAAAAACAGAATTTAATTTTAAAAACTCCTATTGAATTATTTAATGCCAAACAGTCACATGATCTGGAAGAATTTATAGCTGTTTATGGATAGCACATGCACCAACCTCGCAGTGATATTCAAATATTGCACTTTCAGTAGTATTTGCTGATTCTTCTGTTTCAGCGCACGTTTCAAAGGATGAAGATTGTTACAATAAAAAAAAAACCAACAACAACAAAAAAAAAAAACTAGCGAGAGAAATTGATCTATCAAGCTAATAAAGAATACAACGGCTGCTGTACTGGGCAGTTTCAGCACAGCACTGGAGAAAACAAGGACTATTAGCAGCGTTGGGACGTGCTTTTTTTTGAAGCTGTTGAGTAGGCACAAACTTCTTGTTTCAGATCAAGTGTTGTGTCTTCAGTGTAAGTTTACTCTTCTTTGGTCTTATGTTGTTGTTACGATGTAGGTTCCTTTCCTGATCTGAACTTGAAGCAGCAGTTTCAGGTGGTAAATTCTGTTCTGTTACACTTCATACTGGAGAAGAAAAAGAAACACATTTTAAGCACAACTTGGAAAGAAGACGTATCACTGACTGTCCCCAAGAGTTCCTACAACCAGATACTTTGCCACTACCTTAATGCTGCAGGTTTGTTCCATGTCGGGAAAGATAATTTAATTTTACAGATGTACTCTAGTATTCCTGGTTTTGGTCTTGGATTCCCCAGAGGATCCACCTCCAACCAAGGTGGAAAAGAAATGTTTCCAACACATGACAGTCTCTTCAGATCCAGTAAGCCTTTCCAAGAAAGCTCCCGGTTTTTATTTATACGTAACAACAAAACAGCAACCTTGCTTTGATCAGCATCAGGTGAATGATGGGCATAATTTAATACAAATCTGAATCTCTTCCTCTGATTTATGATGCTTATTTGACAGCATTTTAAGTGTATTCATTATCAGTTAAATCAACAAGCCTCCATGCATGTAGCAAAGGGTCTTCTACACAGCAGCAGGGAGAGAACAAAACCTTGAACTAGAGCATCACTGTAAACATAACAGACCAGTCAGGTACAGGGTGGTACCAAAAATTCCTTTTTCTACTATGCTGTACGTATTTCTGGTTGACATCCTAGTACAGTTCTGCATTTCCCAGGAGACAAACAGAAATCAATACCCAATACGTAAGGTTATGTGAAAGTCTGAAGGAACAGTAGGAAGAGTTTTTCTTCAAGTAAAATTCGGGCATTTCTCTAAGCTACTTAAAACGGGAGTATATCCTGTTCACCCATTCTCAGTTCACCAGCAGGAAAAAAAAAACAAAAAACCAAACAGTGAATTCCCATAATCCCCAGACACTTGGCTGGCAAAGGAGACTCGCTCAGCATGTGCTAGGAATAATTTTTGCAGCATCACCCTCCATTTCTCTGAAAGGCTTGAAATGGACAGCTACTCCAGAGAAATTAGTCCCCCTCCCCGTCTTCCCACCTGGGAGAGTTCCCCTTGTAATACTGACTACTTTATTGATGTGAACTCATCTCGATGAAGGGAAAGGCTCTGCTCGCCTGAACCCATAGCTCTATCACAGCTGTGTTGCCAAGGCGACGGGAGAGGGCTAGCAAATGATGCAGCAGCAGCAGAGGACCTCTCTGCAGGTCAGACCTCTGCTGGACCCCCAGCCTAATGACACAATCAGCAGGGAGAGAGGCAAAGCCATCTTTTGTACTGACATGAGAGCTCCAAATGCAGACTCAGTCCAGGCCCCACTACAGGGAGAATCTAGGCAGCAACCAAAGTCCAGGATCCCTCTTAATCATTTCTGGATAAAGTGAGGGAAAATTAAAAGGGGGGGGGCGCCACACATGTATTTTTCTCCACAAGCAATCTTTAGTAGCACTTAGCACACTCAAGTCAGGAAGAAAATATGGGTGCGTGTGGTACCCTTCACCCCCTTAACCCTGAGCACTAGAAACAGCTCCACAGTGCTGGATGACTCACTGTTTTCAGCCTTTATAGCTCTAAATAAAGCCTTCCAAATATATAAAAAAAAAAAAACAACAACATTTCCCCCCATATTTTCTGTGCCATTAAAACAGATGAGCAAAATAAGTCTCCTTTTCTGTGCATGACTGCGCCAGAAAACAAGGCAGGTTTTTTCCCCCTTTTAAGAAAACATTTTTTTAACATTAGTTTTATTATAAACTATAAACATTAGTTTTATTATAGGTAAGACCATTGTGTTAATACTGGATCAGGAACAGTTTACTTCTGTTCACATTTCATATATGTATACGCATGCGTGTCTCAGGTCTGCACTTTATCCAGTTTGTTGTAACCGCTGACCAAAGCACCTGCCAAATCATGAAGGCATTTAGGAAGTGATTCTGGGAAATGCAGTCTAAGCATGATTTTAGACCTCTCTCCACTCCAAAAAAACACCTGACTTTATACCTGGAATAAGCCAGGGAGAGAGAGAAAAAAAAGTAGCCCACTAAGAAGTTTTGGAAGGTGCATGTGTAAGGTCCAGTGAACCCCAAACCTAGCTCTTGGCTTGCTTGCTCAAGATGTGGACCCCGTGCTGTTTGGACAGTGGCCAGCTGTCAGGACTACAGCATCACAACTACGGACAATAGTACTTTGTATCTCAATACAGACGTTACAGGCTGACATCTTTTCAGGAGAAGACATGGGAAAAGCAAGGGGAACAAGATGGATACGGCCAACCTAAAGAAACGGACAGATGATCTAGAAATGAGTCAGGATGACTTTATAAAAATATTCTTCCTGCCAAGTTAGTTCGAGATGCTGGTACTGCATGCGGCTACATTTATACTTGAAGTTTGTAGGGACGCGACAGATCTGCCGGGAGAAGATTCAGAACAATGCCTCGCCGTAAAGAGGAGACAATCCAAGGGTTAATTTGAGGATAAACCCGACACGAGTCTTCACCTGGACAAGGCCGCTGGGTTGGGTGGGAAAATACTAGTAGGCGCCCTGCGATATTGGACAAGGCTTGGCCGGGGAGCCGGAGCGCCAGTGGACCTGCGTCTGCATGTGCCTCAAATGCTTGACTTTCCACCTCAGCTGCTATAAATACTCCCCCCGAGGGTAAACACCCGGAGCAGCTGCCCGGCCCAAGGCGCACTAGGCTGCGCACTGGTGTATTTGCGGCCGGGGGGATTAGCCTGCCGAGAGCAGAGAGAAGGCCGCTTTGTTTGCAGCCCAAAGCGGGGCTACGAGGCGGGCGCACGGACAGCCCAGACCCTGCTCCCACCCCACCCGGGCCG